CACCCTGCTTGAGAGTGATGCCCTTGGACAGGTCCCTCACTAGTTCTTTTCCCAGACAGCAATGGCTTTGTTTTAATGACTATTTTTCAACATTGAACTGTGTAGCATTTCCTCAACCAACTGTCAGCGAGTCTCCTGGGTGATTTCAAACACTGGCAAGTAATTTGGATTTAGCTTGGAAATTTCACCTATCTGTAAACTGGGTTTCATTTGTGTTGAAAAGGCAGCTGGGGAAAGAGCACATCTGCTTTGGGAGAAGGCCTTTATTCCGTCTCTTTCCAGCTTAGTAATCAACTGTGATCTACTCACTCTGTCCCCATGCCTCATCCTCTGTTCGCATGTGAGGTGGGGAACACCACCGTCCGAGAGGGTCTGAAGCTGGAAAAACGTGGTGAGAGGGATTCATAATGTACAAGACGTGAGGTGATTCCTTCATTTACTAACATCCCTCTTATCACAAGAAAGACTATGAGAACCCACCAATGGAGGAGTGGCCATTCACAAAGAATAAGTCAAGATGACCCTTTGACAGCAGAAAAAGAACCAGAGCTTTTTTAAAATTATACTTAGTTTTTATCTTATCCTTTCCTGTTGTCTATTTGTATAGACGTTGTAGTGTCCATCGTATATCAGTATATTGATAAATGTATGTTATCTATCCTCTCTCTTCCTCTCCCCCCCCCCCCCCCCCCCCCCCCGTCATCTATTTGTCCTCATACTGAGCAGTAGCTCTCCTAGAAGCATAAACTCCCGTGAGATTCTTAGTCGGGTCCAGATGTGAACCAGGAACTGGATTTATCTGTTCATCTGGCCCTCACCAAAGAGCCTTTCTTCGGTGTAGCTTTCCCTAAACTTCTGATGTGAGAGACAAATGAAGAGGCTGAGTGTGGGGGTAAGGATGGGCCTGCCTCTGTGTTTCCTTTGTTCTCTCCTCTGCTGTTTGGAAACCACTGTGGTCGCTTCCCGAAGATGCAACTTTGGAGAGTAACTGATTCCGTGTTTGAAATCAGAAAATGAGATATGTTCCTTGGGAGGAACAGGTGGATCTGTGAGTTCAAGGCCATCCTGGTCTACAGAGTGAATTCCAGGATAGCCAGGGCTACACAGAGACATCGTGTGTGGTTTTTTTTTTTTTTTTTTTTTTTTTTTTTTTTGGTTTTTCGAGACAGGGTTTCTCTGTGTAGCTCTGCGCCTTTCCTGGAACTCACTCTGTAGACCAGGCTGGCCTCAAACTCACAGAGATCCACCTGGCTCTGCCTCCCGAGTGCTGGGATTAAAGGCGTGCGCCACCACCGCCCGGCAGAGACATCGTGTCTTAAAAAAACAACAAAAGCAAAACAAAACAACAAACACAAACATAACAAAACAACAGTAAAAAGATACGGCCTGGTTCTCAGATTCGATTTCTCAGACATCTGTCACCAGCTAGACCCATCCCAGCCTCTTAGTGTGTCGTGTGCTTAACACACTCTCACCGCCTAGACTAAGAGAAGGGCTCAGCAGCTCAAGCATGACTTGGGGCAGCTCATCTCCCTCCATGCCATCTTCCCCAGGCCTTTTTTTGCTTTCTGCTGCTTTGGTTTTTCTTTTCTTTTCTTTCTTTTTTTTTTTTAGCACAGTTGGCTGCCCCAATGGAGCCATCAGTACTCAAGACTATATAGAACAGGTTATAGAGTTAGCTAGCCTCCTGCAGCAAGCCCTTCTCTGATCTTGTTTCAGATGTGCTCTTATATCCCTCTGTAGAAGGAGATTCGACTCAAACTAAACACAGTGTCGTAGCCTGGGACCACCTCCCATTAGTCAATTCAATTATGTTTCCATCTGGATCGAGGATAGCCTATTTCTCAAGGAAATTTATAGGGTATAATGTCTTCATAACCTTAGTGGGACAAATTGCCTTATGGAATTAGGAGTTAAGGTGGGGTGTGGCAAATGGAGATATTACTCACATCCTCCTCTAGTTACTGTCCACAGAGTAGCTGTGATGAGGTAGTCAGGGAGCCTCCTTTGTTACCAGCCCTTGATCTCAAAACACCCCACTCAGAAAGGCCCCAGCCAACTGTCTCTTATGTCTGATGAAAACTTACCTCCAGTACAATCCTATTGGGCTAACAGACTATATCATGATTGCACAGTTCCTCCACACCCAATCCAGCGTGTATTTTTTCAAAGATGTTTCTCTACTCCAATATTTTTTTTGTACTCCTAATTGTGTTTTAGCATCTGCTTCCTGGAAATCAAGAGGTTGGATATAAAGGGGAGGAAATGGAAACAAAATGTAGGATTCGATGGGTTTTCATTTTGTTTTTAATTAGATTTCTTAAGTTCACTCTCCTAGCTGGTGGCTATGAATAGGCTCTGGGATAGCTGAGGGTTACTGTTAGGAGATAAATAAATACATATATTTATTTACACACACACACACACACACACACACACACACACACACACATCCCCAATATTGCCTACAGCCTGCATACATAACATGTCTAAACACACTGAATAATTTATGTGTCGTTTAAAAATATATGAAACACAATTCACCTACTTTTAAAGTAGTGCATCTTTAAACAGTAGACACTGGTATAACACACACACACACACACACACGGAAGGAACTCTCAATTTAAGAGAATTGTAAACCACTAATTTAAATGATGCCACTTCTTGTCTTCATATAGTAACTGAAGATTTCTCAAAAACATAATAAATAAGGAAGTAAATAAATAACCAATAACTTTGAGAAAGAACTTCCTGATTCCCATACTGAATAGCTCTTATTTGACCATTTCAAAGCTGAGAGGTACTAGAATGACCAATTACAGAATACAATGAGATGTCACATGTCCCTTTAATACAATCTCAAATGTAAAATGTGTGCATATTAACTGGGAATGTGCAATCTTGATCCTTCTGTGCAGAGGGAGAATTAGGTAATAGATGTTTAGCTTGTGTCAAATAGTCCCATTTGTTTTGGGGAAAGTGCTTTTTTCTAAGGATACAATAGCTTTCTAGAAAGCAGGTACCTATAGGTTTGGGTTGCTGCTATATAGAATCTTGGAAGAGATCAATGACCTTGTTCAACAGGGGAAGACACTGAGAGTCAATCTGGAAAAGCCTGAAAACTTTTTCAAAGCCATATAACAAATACGTGGCACATTTCATTATGGTTTGATGAGGTCAAAGGTTGCTAGGTGTTTCTGTTGCTGTGATAAACATGACCAAAAACAAGTAGGGGAGGAAAGGGCTCATTTGGCTTACACTTCTAGGTAAACAGTCCATCACTAAGGGATGTCAGAGCAGGAACTCAAGCAGGAACCTGGAGACAGGAACTGATGCAGAGACCATGGAGGAGTACTGCTTACTGGCTTCCTCCCCTCGAGTTGCTCAGTCTGTTTTCTTATTTGCCGAAGACCATTTGCCTAGGGGTCGCACTGCCACCAGTGGGCTGGGCCACCCACATCAATCGCTAATCAAGAAAATGCCCCCCATGGATTTGTCTGGAGGACAATCTGAGGGAAGTATTTTCACAATTGAGCTTCTCTCCCCAGATGATGCTAGCCATTGTCAAGTTGAGAAAGACTAACCAGCACACTAGGTTTACATGTCAGGATATGCTAGACTGTGTTTCTATGAGAACTATCACAAATGTTAGTGGGTTAACGTAAAGGAATTTTATTACTGTATCACCCAGATTTTACTGAGGCTCTGGATGATCTCTAGGACACCTGTTCCCCACTTGGTACACCATCATTCCAGGCTGTTTTGATTCCATGACATGTCTACTTCAAGAAACGACTACATCATTGCCAGAGTTTGTGTGGGGAACTACAAAAGCATCACTCACTAGTAGCTAAATGCCAAAGAGACAGTCAGGTCACAGTCAGAGGGTGCTCTGTAAGAGTTGAAGAGACTGGGATAAAGGTGAGCATTAAACATCTCCATCTTTCCAGGCTCCCCAGAGTGCCATAAAATCCCATTTACTATTGGGGCAAACTGCAAAGTTCTCTGAGAATGCTGGTTTATTAAGTCATTTACGATCAGTAGCATCTAAGTTATGAATCAGTTCATTTTTATCAGTCACTAAAACATGGAAGGGAACAAACATGGGGGAAATATAAGATCCTATGCCAGTGAGGTCTCTATTGTTGTAATAAACACCATGACCAAAACACTTGGGGAGGAAAGGGTTTATTTCAGCTTACAGCTACAGTCCTTAATGAAGAGAAGTCAAGGCAGAAACCTAGAAGCAGGAACTCAAGTAGAGGTCATAAAGGAACACTGTTGATTGGTTTGCTCCTCCTGGCTTGCTCAGCTTGCTTTCTTATACAACCCAGGACCATCAGCCCAGTGGTGGCACCACCCATAGTGGGCTGGGCCCTCCCAAATTAATCTTAGTCAAGAAAATGCCCCACAGACTTGCCTGCAGACCAATCTAATGGAGGCATTTTCACAGCTGAGTTCCCCTCTTCCCAGATGAGCCTAGCTTATGTCAAGTTGACAAGAAACTAAGCAGCATAGATCCCTTTTAAATAAAAACAAAATAGCCCAGTGGCTTGGTCAGACAGGACAGAGTTTACGTGGGACTCCTGAAAGACCCAGCAGTAGAAATGTGTTATGGTGGAGGGTTGTGCATCTGAAGGGAGAAAGGTGCTGAAGGAGGCAAAAGCTGTCCTTGACCATGGTCTTTAAATTTACCACTCAGTCTCATGTTCTTCGTGAGCAAAGCCCTTTTCAGATGTCTGTGGTGTCATTCAAATGATGCCAAGTTTTATCAAACCTCTGATCTTCTGTTTGTCTGCCTTCTCTCCCCAGCTGTCTCATACTACTTTGAAAATAAGTTGCAAGCCTCAACTCTTGGGTTTCCTGTCCCATTCTCGTATCTGCAGTGTTGGGGGACTGTGCTGGCAGGACGAACAGGGCAGGAGGAAGTCAGGCTGAGTTTCAGTGGGTTTCTTAGCTCCTTGTCATTTCCCAGACTGCTGCTTTTGCTGTCTCCATGCACTCAGGGGAAGTCACCCACCCAGTCTAGGGTTTCTGTTAGTCTCTCAGGGCTGGGTGTTTATTCAAGTCCTTAAGCCATCTGGACCTGTGGGCTGGACTTGGACGCCCTCTTCCTTGGAGTCCTTCCCCCTTTCCCTTCCAAGATGGAAAGGTAAGTGAGGAACCACTTTCATCCTTAGTGGAGCCAAGACATTTACTCTCAGATGAAAACAAGTTGCAAGTAGGGAGTCAGATGAGAACCAGAATGAGGCCTGAGAGTTTTGTTAATTTATTCCAGTGAAGTTTTTCTTCCAAATGTTCTGATGGAGATCGCGAGTTCTAGTCTAGTCTAGACTCTGGAGGCGGACTGGCTTCACATCCTGGCTCTGCCACTTGCACTTATGAGGTAAAGTTCCTTAATCATTTTGACACTCGACTCTTTTCTTTTTGAACTTTAAAGTATGCACAGTTGCATCTACTTCAGTAAATTTGATGCTTTTAAGGGAAGATTCAATAAAGATTATTATTGTTGTGACCTGATGAGATTCTGGGAGACAGCTATCTGGTAAGTTCACACTGTGATTATCATTGTTACTCAGGTAACCATACCACAGGACTTAAGATACTCCTACTGACATGCATGACTGTTTCCACATCCCCAAATAGAACTAATGTGATCAGGTCTTCCTGCCTTTCTAGATTCTGGTATGTATCAAAACAAGTAAGCGATGTCTTGAAAATAAATGTATATTATGAAGATATGACATACTATCCATTCTCTTAGTATATTTGAGATACTATAATGGAACATCACAGACAGGACAGTTTATGAACAACAGAAACTTAGTTCTCTCAGTCCTGGGAGTTGGGAAGAAGCTCAAGATCAAGGCACCAACTGTTTCAGGATCTGGTGAGCGCCCACTTTCTCGTAGATGGTACCTTCTCACTGTATCCTCACGTGATAGGAGCAGTAAGGCAGCTCTCTGGAGCCTCTTTCATAAGGTCACTGTCGTAATTTCATTTCTGTTGCTGTGACAAGCACCCTGACCAAAACCAATGTAGGAGCGGGAAAGGTTTGTGTAGCTTGCAATTCCAGATCCATTGTCCCGGCTAGTTTTATGTCAACTTGACAGTAATTGAAGTCATTTGAGAGGAGGGAACCTCAATTAAGGAAATGCCCCCATAAGATGGGGCTGTAGGTGGAGGTGGTGGTGGTGCACACCTTTAATCCCAGCACTCAGGAGGTAGAGGCAAGCAGATCTCTGTAAGTTTGAGGCCAGCCTGGTCTACAGAGTGAGTTCCAGGACAGTCAGGGCTGCATAAAGAAACCCTGTCTTGAAAAACAAACAAACCAAAACAAACAAAAAGCAATGGGGCTATAGGCAAGCCCATAGGGCATTTTCTTAATTAGTGTTTGATGGAGAGAGCCCAGCTCATTGTGGGCGGTGCCACCCCTGGGCTGGTGGTCCTGGGTTCTATAAGAAAGCAGGCTGAGCAAACCAGTAAGCAGCACCCCTCCATGGCCTCTGCATCAGCCTCTAGGTTCTGTGGTGATATATTGTGTACCCTAACAAACTTGCCAGAGGATCAGTGGACAGAGCCAGCCACTAGAGTAGACATAGAGGTCAGGCAGTGGTGGCACCCTTAATCCTATCACTCTGGAGCAGAGATCTATCTGGATCTCTGTGAGTTCAAGGCCACACTGGAAACAGAGCCAGGCTGTGGTGCAGACATCTTTAATCCCAGTACTGTGAAGTACACACACCTTTAATCCCAGGAAGTGATGGCAGGGCAGAGAAAGGTATATAAGGCGTGAGGAAACAGGAACTTGCTCTCTTTAGACTGAGGATTTCGTAGAGGTAAGAACTTGTGGCTGGCTTACTCTGCTTTCACCCCAATATCTGGCTCTGGGTATTTTATTACAATACCTTTTAAGATTAGTGTTACAAGGTTCCTGCCCTGCCTGAGTTCCTGTCCTCATTGCTTTTGATGATGAACTGTTATATGGAACTGTGAGTGAAAGAAATCCTTTCCTCCCATGTTGCTTTGGTGTTTCAGTAAAGCAACTGTAACCCTAACTAAGACATCCATCACTGAGGGGAAGTCTACATAAGAACTCAAGCAGTAGTCACATCGCATCTAGAGTCAAGAGCAGAAAGAGACAAATGCACCGTGCTGACTGCTTGCTTAAACTCAACTCGTTTTCTTCGCTGAGTCTACCTGCCCGAGAACAGTGCCAGGCACAGTGGAGTGGACACGCCCAGATCAGTCAACAAGCAAGAAAATCCCCCACAGGCACGTCCACAGGCCAACCTGAGCTAGGCAGTTCCTCAGTTGAGACTCTTCCCACATTATTCCAGGCTGTGGCAAGTTGACAAAACCAACCAGCACTTTCACTAATCCCATTCACTAAAACCAGCCCTTGTGGCTTAATCACCTTCCCCAAATCACCACTTCCTACTGCCATCACCTTGGTTGGGTTACAAAATATGAGTCTGGTGAGGATCCAAACACAGCATTTTATGAAGTACCAGGAACGGTGACAGTGGGGCGGTAATGCCATCCTCCATCCTCTTAGCATTTAGGTTTCTGCTATTTTCATGGGACTGGCCTAAGGGACCATGTTGTGTTGTATGCAGCTAGCTCTTACAATACTGCCTTTGACAAAACCTAGTCCCATTGAGAATGTTGCTTTTTACATGGAATACCTCATGGAGTCTGGGGCTCCTCTGTCAGGGGTTGTGAGTCTTTTGAGGGGCCATTGACAGAGTCTAGTTCATAGCTGGGAAATCTTGGGATGAGCAGATCCTGGATCCACAGGGGCTTGAGGCAGTGGATCAGCATTTGATCCTTCTTCTGGGGTGTGCCTCTGAGGTTGGTGCTGCCTGGATACTTCTAGTTAGTAAATAGCTGGCATTCATGGAAAAGAGAAGGAAAAAAAAATCACCAGTGATGTCATCCAACCCACTGGGCCACAGTTCTTGTTTCAGAAGGAAAACTCTATTTCCCCTTAGTAGACAATGTCTGAGGAGGAGGAGAACCCATTTGTCTAGAGCAGGCATCTATTGAATTACATAGTGAAATATGTTGACTCGTTTTAGGCGGTGCCTTGTTATTGTTCTATTGCTGTGAAGAGATACCATGACCAAGGCAATTCTTAGAAAAAGAAAGCATTTTTAATTTGGAGGTTGCTTACAGTTTTAGAAGATTAGTCCATGATCATCATGGCAGGAAGCAGGCCAGCATGGAGCAGTAGCTGAGAGCTTTACATTCTGATCCACAGTCAGCAAGCCGAGAGAGAGAGAGAGAGAGAGAGAGAGAGAGAGAGACAGAGACAGAGACAGAGAGGGAGACAGAGAGACACAGAGAGAGAGAGAGAGACAGAGAGAGAAAGGACTGGGCCTGCCATGGGCTTTTGAAACCTTGCAGCCCACTCCCAGTGAATCACCTCCTCCGACAAGGCCATATCTACTCCAACATGACCACACATCCTAATCCTTTCTGAACACCGAACAGTACCACTAACTGGGGGCCAAGCATTCAAAAATATGAGTCTATTGGGGGCATCCTCATTCAAACCAGCACACATTGGTTCTTTGATTCTAAGTAAAGCTTTGGTGAATTTTTATAAATAAATAAAAATTACACACACCATACAGTATATACATAAATGTTAGAAAACTTGAGGGTAGCTCAAATATAATCAAATAAGAATCTGAAGACCCTGGTTTTCCATAGGACATGAATTAGGAGGTCTTGGTAGGTGAAACCTGTTAGCCAGACTCCATGGGTCAAGCCACTCAGGATTGCATCCCTGGGAAGCATGAGTTGATGCGATGCCAATGATCTGAGCAGCAGAAGGGAACATGCTTGGTAGCCCATGTATGGCAAGGAGAAGCTTCTAATGAACTATACAGGCTGTGCCAGCTGAAGGGGAGCAGGCGGCTGAACAGGCCTTGGTAACAGGTGTCTGTTCCAGTGACTGTGGATGTCATCTGCTTCATTGTTACAGTTTCTTCCCTGCGGCTGTTAGGCCCCACATAGATCCAAATGGACTCAACATGTCCTTGTTTGTAGAGCATGTGTGTAACAGCACGAAGCTGTGTAGAAGGGACACCACAGTCTTCTCACTCAACATCAGAGCTCCATGTCTGTGGCTGTTCTGGGGAAAACCTCGCCTTTCCTGTGAAAGGTCCATGCTTAGATTCAGGCGTGTTGGGTTTCCCGAGGTCCCTGAACGCACCGTCCGGCACTTGCTTAGACCATAAACTAAAAATAAGTGTTCCCAGGACTCTTCCTGTTGGCGGTGACAGTTGAACCATCACCTCACCACAAAGACACTTGTCATTTGGGGGTTTAGAAAAGGGAAACACTTAAGTGCTAGTTTATCAGACTAAAAGAGTTACAACAACAGTCCCAAGGACAACACTCTGCCCACCCACAGCCTTCTGGTCAGAGGTGAGAGTCTCAGATTACAGGGAACACTGAGCCTTATGACCCACGCTCTTACCCCGCTGAGAGGGAGGGCATGATGATGCGAGGCCACAGCAGCTGCCTTTCAAAGTTCCCAGGGAAACTTTAGAAGAAACAACAGTGTTATTTAAAAGGCACCAGAAACAGTCTAAAATTTAGACGATCAGAGAGCGAGCCTGCAGTTCTGTGCATTATTAATATTTTGGGGGTGTTTCTCATCCTGGACTTTTTTGATCAATAAGAAGACTTTAGGGTTCAGGGGCATTGTGCCATAAATCAGAGCTTTGCCTCGACCTTCTCCTGTCTCTCAACTGGGAACGATGCTGGCCTGCGGCAAGAGTTTAATGAGCACTAGTGTGAGGAACATTTTAATGCATGTCATTCATAAGCTTCCTTGACTGCCCTCCTTAATTTTCTAACATAAGGCTTTAACATTGTTAAACATGTTTTAACATTCCTTAGCTAGTTTTATTTTAATGACTTTGTGATGTTCCATAAAATGGATATTGTATAACATAGTGAATCAGGATCCTGGCATTAGACAAGAAATTCTGTGATGGATATCTCTAGGTACCATTTTTCAAAGAAGAGTCCAGCCTTGAACCCCATTGGACCTGAAGTTTTGGGGCTGATACATGTGAAGAGGTAGATTTAATGGGAACAAATCTAATGATCCAGTTCCTGGGTCATTTATCCAGT